ATATAACCTGGCATGTGGTCTGAATGCCACTTCCACATTGTTTTTTCTGAAGAAACCTGCAATTATCTCTGTTCTTTTACCAAAATATGTTAGAGTTACCCATTTCTTGATTTCTGATTGTTTGATCTGGGGGTATATTAATCTGTAAGTGAATTTACGGCTTTTTTTCTGACTAACTTCTGGATTGTATCTGCTTTGAAGCCATTATTATGGCCTATCTGTGTAATTACTTCAATTTAACTAGGTAGATTGTTAGCAGACAAAGGCAGTGAGAATGCTCTGTGCAACATTGAATTGTAGGTTGCTAATTTATGAGTGTCTGGATGGAAAGAATCACATTGAGCTCATTGACCTCAAATTGATTCAGATTGTGTGTAATGGTCAGGTCTAAGAAATTTATATTTCCTTCTGTGTCTGTTTCGAGTGTGAACTGAATGTTGCTACTGAGATTATTCATGAATGTCATAAATTGGCTCAGCTGTTTTGTAATACCTCTGAAACAGACCAAAAATGAATATGTTTTTTAACCAAGTCGGAATTTACTATGGTGGTCTCCAAGCTGTTCATAAATATGTCCACTAAAAGTGGACTAAGGGGTGATCCCATTGTTAAATCTGAATTCTGTTTATAAAATTTGTTGTTGAACTCTAGGTAACTCTGATTTAGGCACACATTGAAAGCTGTTGAAATTTCAAACGAAGTGATATGGCTTGTCCTAATATATCTAAAATGAGGGGCTTAAATTCGTTGTAAGGTATGTTGGAGAACATATGTTCCTTATGTTTTCCACAAAAGTCAGTGAATTTTTAATGCTGGGACGAAATTGATAATATTTTTGAACAACTTGATAAAAGGTTTTCCCAGTTCTCTTGTCAGACTATTTATATACGAAACTACCGGTCTTATGGCGTTATCCTCTTTATGTGTATTTTATGAACATAGTCATAGTCTCCTTCAGCATCTAGTTATGGAAGAGATTTTATCATATCTATAGCTATAGTATAAAAGTGACCATTGTAAGCTTTTGAAGTATTTGAAGAGTTAATAACACTTCGCAAAAAAATAACTTTTTTTTGTCGCATGAGATTTTTCACCTGTTGGTTACTAATTTATAGGCTCGCTTATTTTGAATCTACTCTCAGATTTTTTCTAGCAGCTCTAATTTAGGAGATCCAGGTACCCCCTTTGACTATTGATATAGCTATCGTCATCGTCCTACTAGTTTCTGGTTCTTTTTTTGCAATGGCTTCGTCTAGAAGGACCTGTGTAAATAATCCAAATAGATTTTGTCACGTTTGTGGCAAATATACATTCAAAAAATTCTGTTTAAATGTGTCAGACTTCGTGAAAAATGCATTCATGGCGTACTTTCAACAGCCATTGGAAACAAACAACAAGCTCTGGATCCCGAATATAGTGTTTAAAACGTGTGTGGATCTAAATGATTTAATAAGAGATCTCGGATTGTCTAAAGCTTCATCAGAACTTCTAGCTTCTCGATTGAAAGAAAGAAATTTGGTCACCAAAGAAACAAATGTCTCATTTTACCATACCAGGGGAAAAAATACTTTTTGTTTTCTGAGGAGGACGATTTTGTTTTTTTCCAATAATATTCCGGAATTAGTGACTGAAAGGGGGTTAAAAAGATACGACCCTAATGATTGGCGTTTATTTATAGACTCGTCAAAACGTAGTCTTAAATGTGTACTTTTATATAATGACAATAAACTTGGCTGTTTTTCTATTGCTTATTTAACCAAAGCTTAAGAAGAATATTCCACAATACCTCTGGTTTCAGACAGAATTAAATACACAGAACACAACTGGCTCATATGTGTGGACTTGAAAATGATTAATTTCTTTTTGTGCCAACAAAGCAGTTATACAAAATATCCGTGTTTTATTTGCTTGTGGGACAGCAGAGCTAAAACAGCCATTGGACCATAAAAAATTGGCCGTTTAGATACGAATTGATATGAGGCAAGTTTAATGTAATGAGCCCCCCCTAGTTCCTCGGGAATGTATAATATTACTTCCTTTACACATCAAACTAGGATTGACGAAACAGTACGTAAAGGATCTAAACAAAGAGGACGAATGTTTTCAGTATATATCCAGATCGTTTCCAAAATTGAGTGCTGAGAAGTTGAAAGGTGGAATTTTCAATGGACCACAAATTACAAAATCAATAAACGATGTAAATTTTACTGAAAGTATGACAACCGCTGAAAAAAATGACTGGAATGAGTTTTTTTGGCTCATAAAAATCTTTTTGGGAAATAAGAAGTCCGTCGACTTTCCTGACTATGTCAAGCAGTTACTATTATACTTTCAGCAATTTGGATGCAACTTGAGCATTGGGATGCATTTCCTTCATAGCCACCTTGATCGATTTCCTGAAAATCTTGGGGGTTTTAAGCGAGGAGCAGCGAGAACGCTTTCCTCAGAATATTCGCACCATGGAAGAGCGCTACCAGAGCTATGGGAATGCAAGTATGGTGGCTGACTACTGTTGGATCATCCAGAATAGTAGTAACACTCCAACTCATTTATATAATAGTTATTCATGTCTCACGGACGTAAAATAGGCTTTTATGGACCGCAGCGTGTAAGTAATAGCCGGGGCGATAGCGAGGGCTATTAACACGCCTAGGTCCATAAAAGCAAATTCCGCCCGAAATACATACAACATTTTATGCACGACTGGTATATTTGATGTCATGTATATAGATACCTCTTTATATCTAGAACACGATAGAAATACATCAAGGCTGCCGTGAGGCTGTATATTCATATCATATCGGAAACAGAATAAATCAAGAAGAGGTGGAATGAATATTACCAGTCAATTTCTCGAAATAATTTCTTGTAGCCATATTTGCAGTAACTTTTGTGATCACAGATAATTTATTAGTGGTCTTGAAATGGATTCAATATTGAGAAATCTCTTGAGATTATTAATGATAGTGATTCTTATGTTAAACTTGATAGAGATCATGTTTCAACAATACAACAAAAGGCAAAAAAAAATCATTACAGATTTGAAAAAAATCTAAAATGATATCAGAAGATGAAGCAAAAATGTATATGATTTATAATTCTATATCACCCAAATATTATGGACTACCTAAAATACATAAACCTGATATGAAATAGAGACCCATTATTTCTTCTATTGATGCTCCAAATAGCAAAATTACCCAAATGGTCACTAAAATTCTCACTGATGCTTATAATTATGAAAATGAATTACATATTAAGGACTCTTTCGATTTTTCCAATTTTATAAATGAACTCAACTCAACTCAAGTTATTTCTTCAATGGGAGCTACTATTTCTCCTATTATAGCTCAATACGTAATGGACGATCTTGTTGAAAACATACTTCCTAAACTGAGTTTTGAAATTCCTTTTTTTAAAAAATACATTGACGATTGCAATTCACTATCGAAATAGAAAATAATCAGACCCTTTCTTTTCTTGATACAAGAGTTATCCGTAAAAATGATAATTCCTTGATCACTGATTGGTATGTCAAACCTACTAATTCAATAAGATATATCAATTACTATTCTTTTCATGAAAAATCAGTTAAAATCAATTTAATACTGTGTTTGAAAAAAAGAATACAAAAATTAGTACACCCTTCCCCCAAACAAAAAAATCTCAGACTTCTTAGACACATATTGATCGAAAATTCCTATATTCTAAAAATTTATTTCAAATCTTCAAAATGGTTTATTGGTTGTTTATATCATTCCCCATCGAGTTCAGNAACGTGGTCAGTAATATCTGTTACGATGTTGTCAATACAAGTTTAAGATAATCTAGTGATTATAGTATAGTCTGAAATTAGTATATCCAATCCAAACGAATGTTGAATACATTTCAAATTGAGAAGTAAGGTTGAATTTACAAGAAAATATATGTTGTAGTCCCCAAGCAAGACAATTATTTCGTTTTATTTCAACAAACTGGTCAATAAACCTTCCAAACTATTCATAAATATATTTGAATCACCTGTGCATGACCTGTAAAGAGATTTTTTAAATATTCGACTTGTTCAAATACACTCCGCAAAGTTCTAAGTGCAGTTCGTTATTAAAATAATTTAAATTAAGAATAGAAACATTTAAATAATAATAATAATCGTCTTTATTGTTTCCCAGCTGTAGTTACATACAAATATTCAAATAAATTACAGAGCTAGTTGCTGATATAACAAAAGGCGAAGTTCAACTCAGTTAGCACAAGTGCTACTGAGTTGTTGTTCTTCCACTCAACCTCAATCTCTACAATATATAGTAACACCTCCATGTTGACGTGAGTTTCTACAAAAACTAGACATGAAATGATAATTTGATATATGTTAAATTGTCGAATGTTTGCCAATGGTCCAATAAACAGATTACATCAAAGTGGAAATCAACTAAAATGGCGCGTAATTTACTCGCCTTATTAGCAACACATTGAATATTTATATGGAAAATATAAATATTTATAATGTATGTAATAATGGATTCAGTTCTATCTTGAGTAATATTAACATGAATTTTTCAAAGAAACTTTTGGCAAAACTCATCAATGTTGTGGAATATAGGTTGATATATCTTTGATTATTCCAATATTTTCACGTCCATTTCGTGCTCCTTGCGGTAGTAGAAGAAGCATGTATTGTTGGTAGATATTTTTTTTATAATCCGTTCAAGTCATTACAATTGTTTATTGACATTTAGCACCATTTATATAAAAATATTTCTTGGAAAAATGTTATCAATTATCTCAAATTTTTACTGAGGAATTTTGCATACACAACACTGCATCAAGTTATTTCTTTAGTTAAAATAAAATTAATGGGAACTATGTATTTGCAATTTTGAAAAATGGAACATTGCAGTCTGGATACTCACGACATCAAATTGCAAAACATTGTCTGAAATATTGTAATTATTTAAAATGCATACACTGCAAATTACATAAGTAAATAATATTTTTTTTAGGTATAAACAATGGATTGATAAATTTTCACCAAGTACACAACATATAATGTTGAATGAGTTCAATACATGTATGGGCAGTGAATCCGTTTATAGAATTCAATATAAATTGAACTTACTATCTGATGAATTGTTTCCTTTACTGAGGGATAAAGGTACTCAAGTAATTAGAGAGGTGAGTATAAGTTTGTAGAAAACATATTATTGTGCCTCTGTCATCTCCCTTTTGAGATGAATTTATTGGAAGCGTTGGAATAAATGAATTGTACAAGGACCCCAAGTTCATAACGACCAACTAGATCTATGCAGCTCGCCCCTTTTGAATTCAGGAGCAGATACCTGGCCACACTATTTAAGACGCAACTTGACAATTTGTGGTAGTCGCTTGAAAATGGCTTTATAAGCCAAAACCGGTCGTAACGAATAAATAAACAGTAGAAACTAGACAAAAGTATTTTCTTTATTCTATATTCAGTAGTAGAAGTATATAAAAATGAATTAATAGGTTTGTATTGGGTTTGTTATGATAATCTTCTGGAGGAATGCTTGAGAATAAATTTATGAGGTCAAACCAAACCAATTTGGAATTGGTGAAAAGGGAATATTGAAGATGTTTATTAGTTCCTGTGAGTTTTTTATATTCTCTACTGTCGGCGAAAAACTTTCTACGGTTGTTCTCGCCCTAGATCCTTGAATTGTTGATCGAATTGAGATACTGGAACTTCTTGTGACATAATTGCGAAATCATATAATTTTTTAAGTAACTCCCAAAAATGGGGCCAATTTCTGACATCACCTCTAAGCTTTTTGAGCTCAATCTATGGCAATTTGAATCTTATTTGAACAGATATACCATTACTAACTGAACAAATATCATCGGCTTCTACTTTCTCTGTCAGAACTGTCAATCTTTCTTTGGATACACTGAACTTCATAATCTATACCTTTTGACTGTTATTCCTTCTGATGTGAAACTGAACATTTCCATGTCTGTGGGCTTGAATTTTCTCGTACCTGCGATATAACTTATGGAAAACTGCTTCCAATTGAACATATCTTGATATTCATTGGACATCAGGGGAATACATCATATAGCTTTGTAAAAATTGCCCTGTGAACGTTTGATACTTTCTTAGCTATTTCTCTAACTCTTACTGGAATTCAAACCTATCACGGTCTTCAAATTTATTTATTTGGTATAGACGGAAAAACCCAAAGTTACAACGTTGTGAAATATACATATTGTAACGAAATAATGAATTAACTATCTTAAACAAATTTATTTTTAACAATATTTCACTATCACAACTAATTTATGTACAACACTTAGCAACTAATCTTAATTTATCTTCACAGTTAGATTTCTTTCTTTAAACGCACGATTCACTTTCCAAGTACAGACTGCCTGACTGACTAGAAGCGGCGCCTTTTTATATCGGCAACGATCGCTCCGGATCTCTCTAGGGATTTCGGGACTCATCTACACCTTTCGCGGTGTTTCGCGATGAGTCATGCGTTTGCTGACTGAGATATCGGTCAGGGCCGGCTTCAGATTCATTAAATTGCCCCCTTTTTAAAGACATTTCGCCCCGAAATGTCATCCTTGGCGTGTGTCGATACCTGCAGAACTCTCCATATCTGCACTGTGAAGTTCGGTGGAAGTAACACTCCACTGTCTTTATGCTCGGTCGTGGAAGATGGTTACCACACACCAAAATCTTCATGCCGCTGGATCTGAAGATCGTTTCCAACATGCTCCTCACAGTTTCCAGTCCAGCCTGTCGAGCCCAGAGGCTAATTTCAGGATTGCCAAGTCCGAGAGATTCTGATCGAGCATCGTGTCCCTTAGTCTGGTAAGACTCCTCCAGACATCTTCGTATGACGGTTTGTCTCGATAATGCTTTTTGGTCACCAAGTAGAAAATGTTTCTCTGATCCTTCTTCAGCTGTAGCACTCCTCTGACTTCTGGATTCTGTTCTTGTAATGTTTGGAGCTGACCGAATTTCTTGTTGAATACCACAGCAATACCCGTGGACATTTGAAGATCCTCTGTCACGCAGTGAGCTAGTGCGTAATCAACTGGAACCTTGAAATGGTCTCGTGGCTCTTCTCGAGTTACCTCATGTACGACCATCTGTCCATTCGAGTATATGGACATGAATTGCTGGAACGCCATTCCATCCTCTGGTGGTCTTAGGGCGCGAACTTGGTCGTGATTTCCAGCATAAGGAGCCAATCTATTAAAATGGACGACCCTAGGCTTTCCTCGAGGTGGCTTATGGATTCGGTAGACGAGGTCATTAATCTTTTTCATGATTTTGTACGGACCTTCCCATGAGTTTCGCAACTTCGGTGATAAACCACGGCATCGCTTAGAGTTGTACAGCCAAACTAGGTCACCGGTTTCGAATTCTCCAGCTTTCGCCTTGATGTCATAGGCCTTCTTCATTCTATCGCTGTCACTCCGGATGTTCAGACGGACTCGTTCATGGATGTCGTCCATTCTCTGCCGAAGCTTGCTGACATAATCTTCCCCCGCAGTGTCTTGTTCTGGCGGCGTCCCAAATTTCAGATCGCAAGGAAGCCGCAGCTCTCGGCCCATTATAATATAGGCAGGGGTTTGGCCGGTTGACTCGTGCACTGCCGAACGATAAGCCAGCAGGAACAGGTGGAGGTATTGGTCCCAGTCTCTTTGTTGGTCACAGATTACCTTGGACAAGCGTCGGCTTGACAATTAACCCAGTAAAACCGTTGTCTTACTTTCTGGAGGGTCTTCGTTACTCCCAGATGTTTTCCAGTGACTCCATCATGGATTTCTTTGAGCACCTCCCGTCGTCTGTTCCTGGGTACCACTGTCTGGCGCCTTTCTTTTCCACCGTCTTCAGACTCCAACACACGCTTCAGAACTCCGTTTTCCAAGGTAAGGTAGTTCTAGTGTGCTCAGTAGGACTTAGCCGCTGGCGAATAACCTGCTACCTCCTGCCACGATGGCCTTCGGTTACTTTTCTTCCATCCGATGACTAAACCAAGATCTGGGTCTTCTTCTTGGTCTTCCTTGATCTTATTATCCTCCCAGTTGTCGTCTACAGCTCTTGTTCTACAAATGGCTGCTTCCTTCTCTTCTGTTCGTCGGCAATGTGATCAGTCATCGGGGCATGGTCTCTGACAGGGCATCTGCGTTTTTATGACTAGTCCCAGCTTGATTTCGAAGTCAAATTCTTGTAATCTCTCAATCCAACGCGCTACTTGGCCTTTGAGATTTTTGAACTGCAGAAGCCATTTGAGGGCTGCATGGTCCGTTCTCAACAGAAATCGTCTTCCATGCACGTATTTGTAGAAATGCTCTACACCTTTGACTACGACCAACAGCTCTCGCCTGGTGACACAGTAATTACGCTCTGGTTTACTGAGCGTTTTGCTGAAGTAGCCAATAACTTTCTCCTGTCCATCCTGGATTTGAGAAAGGACTGCTTCAAGTCTCACGTTGCTGGCGTCCGTATCCAAAATGAACATTCCGTCAGGTAGGGGATAGCTCAAAACAGGAGCGTTATTCAAAGCTCTTTTCAACTTCTTGAATGAATCTTGGCATTTCTCAGACCACTGGAACTGGATCTGCCCTTCTGTGAGTCGGGTCAATGGTTTGGCGATGTTGGCAAACCCCAGTACATATCGGTGGTGTTAGGTGCATAAACCAAGGAAGCTCCGAAGCTGATGTATGTTTTTTGGAATGGGCCAATCCTTAACTGCTTTGATCTTCTGTTCGTCTACCGCCACTCCCTCCCCAGAGACAACGTGGCCAAGGTAACGGACTTCTTTCTGGAACAGATGACATTTCTTGGGACTGAGTTTCAATCCAGAACTCCTCAGACGCATGAATACCTCCTCCAGATTTTTTAAGTGATCGTTGAACGATTTTCCAACCACGATTATATCGTCGAGATACACTAGACACGTCTTCAATGAGAGCCCCTTGAGAACCGTCTCCATCAATCTCTCGAAGGTCGCTGGAGCATTACAAAGCCCGAATGGCATAACCGTGAACTGCCACAATCCTGAGCCGATGGTGAAAGCTGTCTTTTCTCGATCTTCTGGGGCCAATTCAACTTGCCAATATCCACTCTTCAAATCCAAGGTCGAGAAAATTGTGGAGCCGTCTAGGGTGTCGTCGATTTTTGGAAGAGGGTAGCTGTCTTTCTTTGTCACGTGATTTAGTTGGCGAGAACCTTGTCGAGCCGTCCTTCTTCTTCACTAACACGACTGGGGAAGACCAGGGGCTGTCAGAAGGTTCGATGACTCCTTCTTTTCCCATATCGCTGACTATCTTGTCTGCCTCTTCTCTCTTGGCAAGAGGGAGTCTTCTAGCTGATTGCTGGATTGGTCGGTCATTCCCAGTGTCGATTCTATGCTGAACCACATTCGTTCTGCCGCCTTTTCCTTCTCCAATGTCGAATATTTCCTGGTACTTCTTGACTAACTCCCTCAGTTTTGATCGGAGAGTTGGTGGTATGTCCAACCTTGCCGCTGCTCGCACTTCCGTCCAAGCGAGCCTCCAGGATGGTTTCAGCCCTTTCAGGTACGCACACGTCTTCAGCCAATAGGGCTGCGTGCGTAGTTTCCAGCTTGACGGTTCAATTCTTGCCGGTGTTTTGGCAAAGGTTGGCCCAAGAATGGTTCTCGTCGAACCTGTATCTAGCAGCAAGGCTCGTTGTTGATGAGGCCGTCTACGAAAACATATTTGTCTTGTCGTTGGAGAACGGCAACATATGCGTTTTTTACGGGGGCTTGCTGGGTACAGGTCGACGATTGCCCCTTCTCATCGACCTCCTTTAGTTTTCTTGATTTGGTGTCGATTCTTTAAAAACTGGACATTTGCTACGCACATGCCCAATTTTCCCACAATTCCTCTCAGGCAAAACTTCCTTCATTACTTTTCTAATCTTGTCCATTTTCCTCGATAGCTCGAACTTTGCTCTGGCTCTTGCAGGATTGTTTTGCAGCCTCAAACTCCAGAGCGCTTGGCAGTGCATCCACGAGATGTTTGGGATGAGCTAGCGTCAAGGCCTGCCTCGTTTCTTGGTCGCGAAGTCCATCCAAGAATGCCTGAACTGCTAACCGCTCCGTTACATTTTCGGGTGTAGCAGGATATGCCAGACAGACCAATCGAGCTATGTCGACTTCAAACTCCTGTAGGGATTCTCCTGATTTCTGGCAGCGGTTCTTCAGCTGTGAATGGTAAACGTGCTCTAGGTGGGCCTGTCCATACCGCAACTCAATATGCTTTATGAGTTGGTCATAGTCTTCCTGTTCTTGGGCCGTGAGGGTTTGCAGAATATTTGTTGCTTCTCCACGCAACGCCAATGTTAATGCTACCGCCTTCTCTTCTGCATTCCATCCATTCTCTCTGGTCGCAGCTTCAAATTGTAGCCGGTAATTTACCCATGGAGTTTTTCCGTCGAACTGGGGCGGCTTCATGGAGAGCTTTCCTGGTGAGCTTTCCTGGTGAGCTTTCCTGGTTCAGAACTGGCTTTGAACTCTTTCAGTTCCGGAATGGAGTTTTCGGAAACATTTTCTGTGGTGTTGGCAGAATTAATGATTTGGTTTTGCAACTTGTTAATTGTTTTCTTCATCTTGCTGATTTCTGTTTCGAATCCGCCTTTGATTTCATTGACTAACTTTTTTTTCCGTTTTCTTCATTTCTGCTCCGATTTCATCTTTGATCTCCCATTTGATTTCCTCTCTGATTTTGTCTATCTCTGTCTCGATGGTTCCTATCCTTTCTTCGAGTAGGCTCGCCACACTACAAAGCTCTTTCTTCAAGCCTTCTGCATTTTCTAGAAGTTCTTCCCCCAAGCTATCCGAATTCTCTAGAAATGTATCTTCCAAACTCTTCGAATTTTGTTGAAGTTCATCTTTTAAACTTTTCGAATTTTCCAGAAGTTTCTCTTCAAGGCTTAGCGAATATTGTTGAAGCCCATCGAGTTTGCTCATTATTAAACTCAAATCACCCCCAGAAACTTCGAATAAATATGTTTCGGGATCTTCTCCTGATTCAATCAAGTTATTCCCTATAGTCTCTTCTGGAGTACTGATTTCTTTCCGGAAGAATCTAGTTCTCTCTCCTCCAATTCTTGCTTCAATTCAGCGACTTTCAAGTCCACTAGGCGCACTTTCCTTGAACACATGTTATCTCTTACTGTCTATTTTACTCAAAACTGAATATGTCCACTTATTCAATGGAGTCCGAAACACTTATTTATTTTCACAAGTCTATTTTTCGCGAGAACGGTCAATCAGTTTATATGTTTCCGTCGTCCGGTACTGTCCACTTCGCGAATCACAATGAATCACCAGTCTATCTGCGCGGAAGTGCGAAAGTTTCATGGTCAATTTCACTGTAATTCAAATATTGTCCACCAAACGTTCACAAATTTATTTTAAAAATCCACTTCTGATCACCATTTGTAACGAATTAATGAATTAACTGTCTTAAACAAATTTATTTTTAACAATATTTCACTATCACAACTAATTTATATACAACACTTAGCAACTAACGCTTAATTTATCTTCACAGTTAGATTTCTTTCTTTAAACGCACGATTCACTTTCTAATGACAGACTGCCTGACTGACTAGAAGCGGCGCCTTTTTATATCGGCAACGATCGCTTCGGATCTCTCTAGGGATTTCGGGACTCATCTACACCTTTCGCGGTGTTTCGCGATGAGTCATGCGTTTGCTGACTGAGATATCGGTCAGGGCCGTCTTCAGATTCATTACAATATATAAAAATATACTTTAAAAACTGTTACAACATTCGAACGAATATTGACATATAAAATAAAAAGCTTAACTAAATGCTAAATAAAACAATAATAACTAACGCCACCATTAAAAACTAACAACCATACAAGGCATAAATCTATAGACTAAACACATAATTAACTGCAGACTTTTTGAAGACCTCCAAGGAGTAAGTAAAAAAATCAAGTTCTGATGCTTTACCTTTCCTTAACATTCATGTCATTGGACTATTGAATCCATAATTGGTAGAATGTGAGTTCTCAAAGAAAGCAGCTCTATCATCCCTTTTTACTCTTTGCTTGACTCTCGAGCCAACCAAAGAGAGAAATTCTGGGCAATTGATTTGTCTTGACAATAATTTGAATAGAAATATTAGGTCAGCCTGAATTTGTCCGTTTTCAATATGGTTAGAAGTAGTGTAGAAAGAATATAGGTGTAGCAAGGCTGCTGGTCCGTTTGAACGCCTATTTTGTAGGCAGCACTACGCAAAAATTGATTTTGAACCTTTTCCAGTGACGTTTTGTACACTAATCAAGAGGAACATCATACAATGGATGCACACTCTAAATGTGACCTAATTAATGAACAATGCAGAATTTTCATTGTGCTTGCCGATAAGTCTTTAGCGATCCTACCTACATATTCTAGAAGTTTAAGTGAATTCAAGGTTATTTTATTAATATGGGATGAGAATGACAACTTTTTATCAAATATAACAACAAAATATTTAACTTCATCAATTTGTTTCAAGGGCCAAGATTTCATGCAGTATTCCACATATGATTGGTACTTGAGAGTGATTGAAACACATGACTAGATATTTGTCAGGATTTTGTTCTAAGCAGTTATTTCTACACCAATTGGTTAAATAGTTCACATCATCTTGAAGTTTCAGACAATCAACACATATGATTCAATCACACGAAATAGCTTAAGATTATCAACAAATAACAATCCCTCTGAGTCAGTAATGTGTGCAATAAGATCATCAATAAAGATATTGAAAAGTAATGGTCCACAGTGACTACTCTGGGTAACACCAGACAGGCTTCAATTTTTGGGAAAGTTTTTGGCTTTCTACTTCTCCATCTTGATAAAAAAAAATGTGGGAATCTTCCAAAGAAAGAAAGGAAGCAATCAATTTCAATAATTAACTCTATACAAAGATGTGTAGATCATACAAAGAAGTAATTTTCAGACATTGAATTACACGAAAGAAAAATACTTTCGAAACAATTCAAGATGGAGAAGTAGAAACCAAAAAAATTTCCCAAAAATTAATCTGTCTTAAAAATATACCCTTTCAATTTAGGCTTCAATTGTATGTGAAATGTAATTATTAATTTTCACTCACTGAATTCTACCTGTAAGGAAGTTGCCAATCCAATCCAAAACACTATTCCCAAAACCAAAGGATTCTAATTTTCGAAGCAATACAACATAATTAACTCTATCAAACCCCTTTGAAAAGTATGTATAATTGAGTGAACCTGGTACCGTTTCTCAAACACGCCCAATATGTCCTGATAGACCAGCAAACTTGTGGCTGTAGACTTGTCTCTGAAGAAACCATTCTGCTGGTTGGTTAGAGCACTGAGACAGCGTCAAGAAAGCTGTTTGGTTACGAGACAATCAAATATTTTATGAATAACAGATGGTAAACTGATGCCCCTATAATTCTTAACATTGCTCCTATCATCTGACTTATGGATAGGTCTGATGAAACTGCTTTTAAATAATAAAAAAAGTGGAAAGGTCAGGGTACCCACACATTGTTTCAATAACAGTGAAGGCACACTATCCGGTCCAAAGCCGACACCAGTCCTTAGTGCACTCACTCAGCGAAATTGAGTATCCAGTAAGAAAAAATCAATACTGTCACAAAATAGGCAAAACTTTTTTTTCTGAAAGAAATACAAATTCAAAAAAAGTCTTCAGTTCTCTAACAATGGAATGTTGTATTTTTTAATCGTCATAACGACCACCACTACATTAGGAAATACGTTTTAAGAGGCGAAAAATATTGACAGTTCTCTTAACAATAAATATATAGGATAGAATAGAAAAGTAAATAATAAACTGTGTCAGATTTCAGGTGCCAACGTGAAAAAAAAACAAAAATATGAAGATGGTACTGGAAACACAGGTTGCACACAGAATGACTTAAATTTAGACAATTTAACTATGCAATCAAGACCTGCGAGTCCTTCAGAACCCTTTGTATTTCCCAACACATTTTGTAATTTTCATTTGAGACCAAAAAAAGGTTTAGATAGGTAAGGATTGTATCTTGTCATCTATTTCCTTAAATTATTAATGAATTATTTTTATCTTGAATCCATTCATTGTTACAGAACAACAGAGTTGAAGTTAAATCCTAAGGAATACATAGAAGAAACTATGGTGCTTGAAGAATTTTCAAAATTGTTGAGTGAGTTGAAAACAAAATTAATACAAAAGAAGCTTACTCTCGCAAATGTTAATTATCCAAAGATACTGTTTTTGGGTACAGGATCATGCATCCCAAATAAAACGAGGAATACTAGTGGAATATTAGTTACATTGAGGTAGATTTTACCATTTTAAACAGTTAATTTTCTAGTGAACCACTACTTGTAGAAAGTAACCATTGACTCATTTAATCTACTATATTGAACTGATATGTTTTTCAAAAGATTATTAATGTTTAATGAAACAGTTATAAGTAATCATCATCATCACCTATATACTTTTTTTCAGTGACTCCCAAAATATTATTCTAGATTGTGGAGAAGGGACCTATGGACAAATTGTGCGATTTTTTGGTTCTGACCAAGCAGATAAAGTTTTAGCAAATATTGATGCAATTTATGTTTCACATCTGCATGCTGACCACCATATAGGATTAATAGGTTTATTACAAGGAAGAAGGAGAGCGATTGAGAATATTGGTCTGGATAAGGGTCCAGCTTATTTGTTTGCTCCAAACCAAATCATGGCTTGGCTCAGCTTCTATAATAAATGTTTTGAAACTATCAATGCAGAATTTAAATTAGTTCCTAATGGAGAATTGGTAAAATTTAATTTTTATTATGGTGTTGTTGTTACAAAATTGTTTTACAGATGTTCAATAACCCCATATATCCAGAAGACTCTAAAATGGTAATAATGAATCAATTAAAAATGTCAGATATAGAAACTTGTTTGGTGAGGCATTGTCCAAATGCATTTGGAGTTGCTTTCACCACCGAAAATGGTATAAAATTAACATATTCTGGCGATACCATGCCTACGGAATCCCTTGTTCAATTAGGTATTCATTGACATATTGTTTCGAAATATTTTCATTAATCTATTATCAAAACTTCCAGGTGCCAACAGTGATATCCTCATACATGAAGCAACGATGGAAGATGAACTCTCTCATGAAGCTGTAATAAAAATGCATTCAACCACATCACAAGCAATAGATGTAGGAATAAAAATGAACGCCAAAAATATAATCTTAACTCACTTTAGTCAAAGATATGCAAGGCTTCCACGCTTTAATGAAAATTTCAATAATAATGTTGGTGTTGCATTTGACAATATGCAGGTTAGTATGTCAGTCAAAGCTTTGTCATAAATGGTCTTACTATAAGAAGAGCTACGAAATGTTATCGTTATCACCATAGGCAAATTTTGGAATCGATCGGTAACTCATTAGCAATGCCACGTCCTTTAACAAATTGAGTGTAATGGATTGGATTTCAACATTATAACTGTTATTTCCTCAAAATTTTGTAAATGTCAAATCAACTGATTCTCGATGGTTTGATGTGTGACCTTGTTGGATTAAAGAATGAGATGGATGTCACATCTGTAATCCATTGAACAAAAAAAAAGTATCTGGTGGAGCTAATCGGCAAATTTCAAATATCATAGACGTCTTTTTCCATAAACGTGGACCAGATGGACCAGAGGAAAAATATAAACAAAGAGGAGAATCCCTCGCAAAATACAAATTGCCAGGGTGCGTAAGCATATTAGGAAAATCAAACCCAATTGGCAGGTAAAATCTGAGACAGATTTATGGAGGAGGAAATGCATCTTTCTACAAAAATGAACTTCACTTCTCATAAAATCGCACGAAAACAAATTTCAGGTAGTAACCAAAAGCAGTAGAGACTATAAGACAGCTTCTCTGGGTGCACTTTCCAAGATCAGTAATCATAAAGATGAATCCTAGAAAAATTCAGAAGTCGAGCCTCTCAAAAGGGTTTATAACAGTGGACTGGACCTGACAGCATAAATAATAATGAAAACACTTTATTGAACATCGAAAACAATGTAGACAAATACATATGTAAAAAGAATGAATTCTTCAATAAATTTTTCGAGACTTTCATTTTCTTTTAGCCGCATTGATAATAGTATCTTCTTCAGGAACGACTGTCTTTTCATATTTCTCATTTAAAACATTCCACATTTTATATGTTGAGTTGCAATCTCTCAAACTTTCTAGCTGTGAATCGTCCACACACTGTACGATTAGGCTTCTTGCTTTATTATTCTTTTTGACTTCCCCTTCTTCCGTTCTGTCCACTTCAGTCTCCACTAGATCCTTCATACTATTTTCTGCCAATATTAACTCCATTCGGAATTTCCAATTATGAAAATTGTTTCCATTCAAAGGTTCAATATAATAGCTTTTTCCTGATTGATTTGACATTTTTTCTGTAACCTCCTTTTTTTGTTACTTTTGTTTCGTTTTCTTACCTTGGCCACGTTTTTTATAACCTTACTTTTCCTCAAGATTTTAAAACTGTTTTTCTTATAACTTTTCAGCTTCCTGTGTTCCACCAACACTTGGCCGACTAGCTGTGCCCCTAACCTGTTGTGAAACAGGTTAGGTTAGGTAAACACTACTCTTTCACTTTTACAAAACGACTTTTATTTACGACTTCCACGTTGTTTAACAGAGTAGTAACAAAGTTTCATGCCCAACTCGAGGACATTTTTATGCATCTTAACAGTCTTCGAGTGATAACTGGACTTATTCCTTTGATATCTGACTATTTATAGGTCATTCGACTGCTTTCACCTATCCCCTCTTCCCTCTCTCCACTTCATTGGTTTTTAGCGGGAGCTGACAGTTTGGCGGGAGTTGGTCGTGTTCCACTTGGTTAGAGGTTTCCATATGCTACGTATCTCCACGCTAGCTTGGCTATAAGCGTTGTTGGTCAACATATATGCGGTTGAATGTTCTCCCAAACCAGTGTTCCTCCTTGTGGATGATTTCAGCCTGAGCCCACTTGATGTTATGTTGATGAGTCCAAACATGCTCTGCTATTCTGGATTTGCTGGTTTCTCCTCGCCGTGTGTTTCTTGTGCTCGCAGATGCGAACTTTCAATGGCCTCTTAGTTTCACCGATGTATGATTCTCCGCACTCGCAGGGTATCCGGTAAATGCAATTCTTTGAATCGCAGTCCGCGTTTGGTGGCCTGGTTTTCGTGAGACTGCTACGGATAGTGTTCCCAGATATGAAACAGGTTCTGATGGACCCAATCCTTCTTATCCTTTCCGACAATCCTCTGATGTAGGGAAGTTCAAGTACTGGTTGTGAAGCTCTTGCTGTCTTCTAGCTAAAGCCTGTTCCACCATCACTTTGGAGTAACAATTCTGTTGAAGGTCATTTTGGATGATGCCAAGTTCTTTTTCGAGACCATCCTTTGTATTGTAGAGCCCGAAAGCAACGTCTAGTAGAGTCTTGATGGTTCCTCTCTTAGTCTCCAAACTACGGCCCGCGGGCCAAA